TTGTTTTGATGTATTTATTCTCACTTTACAAGAAAAAGGTGGCCTGTATTGATACGAACCAGCGCTTCTATAGAATAAGCAAACAGAAAATGCATTCAGAACATAACTTTGTTAAGACTTCGCCAACAGTGTCTGAATAGTTTTCTCCCTTCATTCTTTTTCCTTTTTCTTTTTGCTTGTCTTTTATACTAAGAAGAAAGTGTGGATATGTATCAGGAAATACAGCATAGTATTTTACTAATCCTTTCAGCCTCGTACGCCACACGCTAGAAGTTTTTGCGAAGTACGTTACTGTGGATCTCTGTAGAGAGTGATTAGGCTTCGTTCAGGAGAAGGGCGTCGCGGGCCCTGCACAAGCGTGGTTCTTTTTGTTTCGAAGCGCCGAACGGAGTCTCGGAACAAAGGCTTCACGTGCCCCTGCCTGAAGTGGGAGACGTCTGTCGTGGAGACGTCGTATTCGCTCGAATCGACGTCGGTAACGTATCGGCTTGTGGGCTTTTTTGCGTCGGCTTTGTTCCGTACACTTATCACGACCCGTCTGGCGAAGTTGTTGACGTGGGGCTTGGAGGTATAGGATTCTTGGCTCGTGCCCTGGGGCTTTCCTTGCGTCCCTGTTTCGTAACTATCTTCCGACGTGTCGTGTTCATGATTCTTTAGGGTCTCCGAACTGTAGTGAGTCCCTGTGGCTTGTGCTGGTGGCCCATATTTACCTGCGGATTTGATGCTTGCCACAGAATCACTTGGTTGCTTGATCACTTTAAGCCCATAAGGATCTTTAGTCGTAGTGGTACTCTGCTGATATTCTACAGCATAATCTGAGGAAGAACTATGAGATGCAGAAGGCACTTCATAGATCTCCGGGGTCGGAAGACTCTTGTATTCTTCGGCCGAGTAGGATACTTCAGACGACTCCACAGGCGGCACATAATCCTTCGAGACCACAAGACCTTTGGAAACGCGGCCAGAGCGAGATTTCTGGGGCAGACGACTCGACACTCCCGCTGGACGAGAAGAATCGGCGTCCTTCCCTAAGATGATTCCATTCCTGGTATATACGAACCAGGTTTGAGCGCCATCGCAGTCGACGTTGAACCACCAGTCACACACCGAATACCACTGGCTGAACACGGTCCCGTTAGGGCACAGGAAGGAACTGTGCCGCCCATCTTTCTGGCAAACATGATACACTTGGCATCGCGCCCTGTAGTCTGCATAGTGCCCTGGGTAATCCAAACCATCACATGAGAAGCCAGTGTACGGCACGGTTGCTAGAATGGGATAATCCTTTCCTGGTACGCCCTCACCTGGAACGTTGATGAACAGCGAAGCCAGGTAAGCTGCGTCGTGTTCCCGAGAATCATAGGAAGGTTCCTGGTACTTGTAATCGAGTGATTTCTGGTACTCAGATGTAGATTTCTGGTGGACGAATGGCTTAGAAGGTTCCTGATAACTGTATGCTTTGGAGGGTTCGTGGTAGTCATCCGTGTGGGCTTCCTCTCCGTCATAGGTCTTTGCTGGTTCCTGGTAGTCGCCCTTCTTGTGAGGTTCCTGGTAGCCATATGCCGTTGCGGGTTCCTGGTAGTCATCCTTCTTTTGGGGATCCTGGTAATCAAACGTCTTTAAAGGTTCCTGATAAGTGTACTCCTTTGAAGATTCCTCTGAGGAAGTCTTCACAGGGCCTTGGTATCCGTCCTTGGTTTTCGGAGGTTCTTGGTAGGAGACTATTACAGGGTCCTGGTAATCGGCCTTTTTGGAAGGTTCTTGGTAGCTGAATGCCTTGGAAGGTTCCTGATAGTTATACTCCTTGGAAGAGTCTTCGTAGGAAGTTTTCGGTGGTTCCTTGTATGTTTCAGAAGGTGCCTGGTAAGAGATCTTCGGAGGTTCCTCTTGGTATGTCTTGAGGGGTTCTTGGTACGAGGCTAGCAGAGGTTCCTGATACCCATCCTTCGTCAGAACCTCCTGATAGTCGTCTTTCTTAAACACTTCCTGAAAGTCGTATGTCGTAGAAGGTTCCTGAGGGTCGTACTTTTTCGGAGGTAGATATTCATGCTCAGGAGGTTGCAGTTCATAATGTACTTCTAAGGAATCGTGGGATCGGGAGGGACACAGTTGGACTGCCAGGCCTGTAACGATTGAGAATGAAATGAATGAAATAAGTATCCGTTTCATAATTCACATCAGTCATTCTACATCTCCGATTTGAGATAATGGAGATACAGAGAGATATAGTAAAGAAAATTACCCACAGATGATTTTCAGTATCTAAATACAAATTGAAAAAAAAGAACACGAATGAACAAACACACTGAAACACAACAAACGTAAACAAATCCTCACCCAACACAAGGAGTGCACGAACCGACGCCATGACAAGGAGAGGCGTAGAGGATGTGTGATGCTGGATGTGTCTGTCACAACCTTATATATGCATCCACGTTCTGTCCCCTCCTCCTCTTTCACGTCCTTGGCATATATCATAACGGCGGGATAAACGGGGGTG